GCTTCATCTGACATACTTCAGACATGTTGCAAGTCAGGATCAGTCCTTGGAGAGGGACACCATGCTTGGGAGAGTGGAGGGACAGAGCAGGAGAGGAAGACCCTCTATGAGATGGATTGATTTGGTCACAGGGGTAACGGGGATAGGTGTGTAGGAGACAATAAGATTGGCAAGTGATAGAGCACGGTTTAAGGCTGTTGTACATAGGGTCACTATGAGTTACAGGTGACTTGAAGGCACATAACAACAACCAACAACAACAGTGCTTAATTTATATGCAGAACAGATGATATGGGTGGTGGGGCTGTATGAGGAGGAATGTGGCATCAGAATCGGAGGAAGACTCTTCAACAACCTATGTTATGTATATGAGATGACTCGACTTGCTGAAACTCAGTAGGACGTGAAACACTTGCTGCAGAAGGTCAAAGACTACAACCTACAATATGAATTGGAGCTCAACATTAAGAAAACAAAGATTCTCATCATACTTGGATTGGCAGCATCATGATAGATGGTGAAGAGAGTGAGATTGTTAACAATTTTAGTGTGCCTGCCTCTACAATCAACACTTTTGGTACCAGCAGCCAGGAAATCAATAGAGAAATTGCATTGAGAAAATCTGTTGTCAGGGACCTCTGTGCCTGATCCAGGCCATAGTTTTTGCAATTGCTTGTTATGTGTCAGAGAGCTGGACAATGACTAGGGATGATAGAAGGAGAGTTGATGCCTTTGAGCTGTTGTGCTGGAGAAGAGTGTTAAATATACCATGGACTACCGAGAGAACAAACAGGTTTGTCCTAGAGAAGATGAAACTAGGCTACTCCTTGGAGGCAAGGTTTCTGAGGCTGTATCTGATATACTTCGGGCATATTGTAATGACGGACCAGTCCTTGGAGGGGGACATCATATTTGGAAGGATGGATGGACAGAGAAAGAGAGGAGGACCATTGATGAGCTGGATGTACTCAATGACTGGGTTAATGGAGATAGGTATGACAGAGACAGTAAAATTGACACAGGATAGAGCAGGTTTCAGGTATGTTGTACATAGCGTCACTATGAGTCACAAGCGACTTGACGACACACAGCAACAACACTATTGAATGTGATGTTGAGAACAATACTACACAACTTTGAGGACGTGGGCTTTAAAGGAGGCATGTATATCATTGAACACTAGTGATACATAATAACTGTTATTATGGTATACTGTCAAGATGGAATTGTCCCCTAACAGACCTTCCAGTGAGTCTTTTATCAAGATATTAAATTACAATGGAGGAGATTGCCCATCCATCTCACATGGGAAGCTAGTGGATTCAAACTGCATTATTTAGGGGTTGCAGCACAGTTTCTCACCACTAGGGAATCACTAGACAACATAGTTTCTTTCTGACAGGCCATTAGAGCTAGTAACAGTGTATGTGTGTGTGTGTACAATTTGCACTGATAATCTAAAGGCTGTTCATCTCCAGGATTTTAATCCACTAGAGACTGTATGTGGGGGCAAGCTCTGGTGAGGGGAAGCTCTTTTTCTTAGAAAAAGGAGGAAAACTCTTAAAACTCTTTTTCTAGCCATTTCTTTCTTCTTTTGCTAATAGTACAGACCAGATGAAATTTGAATACCCATATTGTTTTTTAAGGTAGATGCTAAGGTCCCTGAACTGAAAACCAACCTTTTCAATAGAGGTGTTGCTATAACCTGCCATTTGGTTGTTGAAATCTCGATTTAGTTGAATTGTCCAAGCTGTGTCATTGATTTTCCATAAAGATTCTTTCAGCAACTGTGATAAAAAGTAGTGGTTAGATATAAATATGACTATTTAATGTGTTTTTATTATACATTCTTGTTATCTTTTCTAAATAAAAAGAATGCATTAAAAATGTATTAAACATTATTTCAAACTGATTGTTTTGGAAGTTTTCATGTTAGTTTACTTTAAAAGTAATTTTTCTAAATGTTTTTTAATTTTTTAATAGTAAGAGGCACAGAACTTAGAAATACACCCACTCCTCAATGACAGGCATGGTTATGTTCTACAGACTTAATTTTATGTGAAAATTAAGGGTGACTACATTAAGTGACATAATGGAAAAAGACTACATCATTACATAATTTTCAAACTACTAAGAATCACAGACTAGGCAAGTTGCACATAATCTTAACTATCACAGCTATTGTTACTCTCTCTAGCACCTTGGTGTTTGTTACTGACATATACATGCCATCAATATGCAAAAATATGACTCTAGTTTCCTTATGAGTCCCTGGAATCTATGTAAAGCTGATGTCCAACTCTAGGATCTCACTTGTGTTTCAGTAACACACTTATCGCTGTTGAGTCAAAACTGATTGTAGCTGACCCTTTCATAGGTTTTAGGAGTCTATTAATTGCACTGGAAGAGACAGCCCATATTTTTTACATAGAAGGGTGGTTTATATGTAAAAATCCACTAAAATTCATAGGTGAGAGAAGAGATACTTTTCTGGGTAAGGAGCATAAGGTAGAGTTTTAGTTTTTAGTTATGGGTGGGGCGGAGATAGAAACCAATTCAAGAAGAAAGAGTTGGGATTGGGAGCCTTGTGTGTGCTGTGGATTCATAACTGAACTTACAGTGGGTTTTCAGGGGCAGTAAATCACATGAGAGGGAACTGTCTAACTGCAGAGCAACTGGTATCTCCAAACCGTGTGCCTTTGGGTTGACAGCACAACTTACCACTAAGCCACCAGAGGTCCCTAATTAGGAACGCTGCAGTTGCTTTGTGCCATCGATTCAAAAACAACCCACAGCTGACCATTGGAGGATTTTCAGATGCAGTAAATTGCATTCTTCTCCCATGGAGCAACTGGTAGATTCGAATGACATATGTTGTTGTTGTTGTGTACTGCTGAGTGGAACTGACCCATAGCTGTGTCTATTAAAAATTATTGCTGGCTCAGCTATGATTCAGTTCAGATTCAATGACACTCAACCGCAACTTAATTCTTAAATAATAACTTTTAATTTTCTAGTGTTTTCTCAAGGAAGAAAACTCATATTCACTGTTGTTTAAAATGTTATTTTTCATTACAATGAGTAAAAAGGTGACATCTAATTCTACCATTAATGATTAATCTAGAAAGTATGCTTACCTGAAGCAGCATGGTTTCCCACAGAGTGATGCTAACATTCTTTCCTAGAAATAGAAATTGTTGCAATAACTGTCAAAAAAAAATCAAGTCTCCAATTTTACGTTCCAGGACCCCAGAGACGTAGGGTGTCCTTTTACATACTTCCTTCTTACAGAGAATGGTTGTCGTTGTTGTTGTTGTTGTTGTTATATGCTGTCAAGTCGCTTGCAACTCATAGTGACCCTGTGTACAACAGCCCTAAACTCTGCTCTGTCCTGTGCCAATATTACTGTCTACGACACACCCATCACTGAATCAATCTACCTCCTAGAGGGCCTTCCCCCTCCTGCGCCTGCACTCTACCCTCCCAAGCATGATGTCCTTCTCCAAGGACCGATCTTTCCTTACAACATGACCGAAGTATACCGGACGAAGCCTCAGAATCCTTGCTTTCAAGGAGCAGCCCGGTTTAACCCTCTCCAAGATGAATCTGTTTGTTTTCTTAGCAGTCCATGTTACCTTCAATACTCTTCTCCAACAACACAGCTCAAAGACTATTTCATATAAAATGTACAAAGATCTTTGATGCACAACAACATCTTGCAATGAGCAAAGACTTTTCTGCTCATTTCATCTTTAAGTACTGAAATGACTTAAAGTATTTACACCTGATTGAATAAAACAGCCTTCTAGAAAAGTACCAAGGAAAAGAAAAACAAAAGAATGACATAAAAGTGAAAATTCCTGCTAAGGATATTAACCACAAGGTCTTCTTGTAGTATGAGTGTTTTTAATAGAGAAATAGAATATAAAGAGTCAAGGAAAAAATATATATCTATCTTGCTTATTAAATTCATGACTTTTATGATCTAAAATTAATAGTAATGACCTTGTTGTTGTTGTTAAGTGCCGTCGAGTCACAGGCGACTCATAGCGACCCTATGAAGGAGAGTCCAGCGTCGAGTAATGACCTTAGACAAATGATTTCTCATTTTGTTGTATTCTGGCTTTGGGTGAAGTCTGGTCCCACTCCCATGTACCTTCTAAAGGCTGAAGGAGCTGAGGCAATCGTGTTTTCCAGAGGTCTACCAATTTAGGGTGAATGATTTCAGGTAATATCTTCAAAAGTCCTATAGCACCAGCCCCAAGCAATTTCCCTACACTGGCAAGTATAGATATTACCTGAAAAATGAAATAAAATACACTTATCAGTTGAATGGTCTTTAAAAGTCCCACTTTCCTTTCTAGGTTACCAGTGCTCTGAGTTTTCATGATTCTTACTTTGGACAGTTTTCAAACAAGTCAACAGTCAATTCTGAATTATTCTAGAGCAAAGCTTATATTTAAAGAGTGAATTTTCTCCACTCATTTTTTTATCCTCTAAGAATAAAGATAAAAAAGAAAAGGAAAATGAAAGACACCAGCTCAACATAAATGAAAGGTATCAATACTTAGATATAACTATTAGTTAAATAAGGGTGTTTGGACACAGCCCTTGAATATTTACACATACAGTCAAGGGAAGTAAATGAAAATCCAGAAGAAAGACACAGAATGAGATATATACATTAAATTCAGTTTTATGCTTCTTTGAAAATACATGAAGTTCAACAATAATTTCACAGTGGGAAGATAATCTTGCTAATAATAAACCTTCATGACTGTCATTAATATTGCAAAAAATGTATTATGTATGTTAGTTGTTATTTTGGTTGGGCACATTTATTCGATTTTTATTAGCATTTGAGCTGAATGTAATTATTCTCATTAGCTAAAGTTTATCCACACTGGTTCTTTGTAACTCACTCACAAGAAGCCTGGCCAGTAGCTGCTGTGGTGAAGGAAGTTTCACTAGAAGGAGAAAACAATTTCTATTAACTACAGGCTAAGAAATTCAGATTGGTGTTAGATAGGAGATAAAAGGACTGTAGGGAACAAATCTCTGATGTGGGAGAAGTTTTGCTTTGTTTATGGATTTACAAACCAGTCCCGGTAGAGATGACAAGTGCTGTTGGCTCTGGGGCATTAGATTTCTTCCTCTCTTCTGCCATAATCAGGATTCTGATGATGTTAAGCAGGTGGACCAGAGTCCCTGTATATTCTGCCGGTACCACAAAGGTCAGGATTCTTGGCCAGAGTACCTGTGGGAAACAGAAGATAAGATGCAAGGACTGCTTATTCTTTCTCCATTACTTCTCTCTAATAGTCGCTATGTGGTTTTCTCTGACACAGACATTTTAATCTCATTCATTATCATTTCATTGTAATGGTCAAATTAAAGGAAATAATGAAATACAATTTCTTCACTTACCATTTCCCTTTGTCCTTCTTTCTCAACCCTTCCTCTTTTGAAGAAGTGGAAGGGGGTTTTATCTTATGGAGCTTGCAATTGATACCACAAAACAAAATGGGGATGAGCTGTTGAATGGAAAATAAATTTGCTCTATAAACTTTCAACCTCTCTCACTGAAGAAGGGGAAAAAATTCTCTGAATAGCATATCCATGTTTAGGTACTTGTAGTGAATTGTGATGGGTGTTTCTAATGGGGTTGTTGATGGAATTTTAAATAGTACCGTTCTTAACCATAATAGATTATTGTAGGTACTACAGGATATTTAGTTGTGGTATCAGAAAATGACTTTAAAAATTGGCTTCTCTAACCATTGCATTAGCCTTTACTGGGGGCATGGTCTCCAGCTACCTCAACTACATATTTGCAAGACACATGGTCTTCAAAATAAGCAATAGCAGTGGGACTGAATGCTTTCCACATGGTGAATGAATGATGATGAAGAGACTGTGGAAAGGTATAACCAGAGAAACCCTGGAGAGGGACCCACAGTTAAAGGTTTTGCTAGCTGTATGATTGAAGGAAAAGCTGACATAATTGCTCTTTGATCAAGCTTACTGGATGACTGAGTAAACCAGAGGTTTATTTGTGCTGTAGAAACTAAACCTAGAAGACTGAGAAGCTGTTCGAACTAATTGAGGAATTGTGTCTTGCTTTTGAGACTTGGGACTGCTAGACTAAACCTGAACTTGCATTGTGTAATATTCTTCATCTCCCCTACTCCATAACTTATTTTCCTAAGAAACCTCACAACAGTGAATGAAGTTTGGGTCACTTTGCAATTATATCCAATGATTGCACCCACTGGTAGGTAGAAATAGGTGCAGGAACATGTGGAGTAGCATGTCTGACCCTGTATCTATGTGTATGCTGGTTGTTATTGTTGTGTAAAGTAGAGTTGGAACCAACCCGTAGTTGACCCTTTTCAGAGGTGGTCAATCATATAGGAGGAGATTGCCCATTCTCCTTCAGAGCAGCTGGTGGCCTCAAATCTGTATGCCATAGTTATTATTGATGTGGACAGTTCCCCTTAATGAAGCAGATAGAACTCAGACTTGACTTCCCCCACAGTGCATTTGCTCCATTTACAATATTATTGCTCAGTTTCCAAAAATTCCTCACATTTTCCAAAAGATGCTACCAGAGGGAAGGAGCCAGTCTGTGAGAGGCTAGGGAATTGCTTGTCTTTTCTTCTTCAGACTCTAATCTCCCTGCTTTCTGGGACAATTCTGATCTCTTTAGCCAAAATTCTTAGTGCTTCTTAAAAAACTGGCTTGTCTTAATGGAAAACTTATGTCATCTTGAACATTCTCTTTATTACCATCTGCATTTAACCACCAAACCCTGTTCTTTTGACATCAAAATCTTTCCTTCCACGTTTTTATCCCTATTATGTCATCCAACTCTAGTTTCTATGAGTTGCGTCTGATCTTATAGCTCGTCTCTTGTGTCACTAAACTAATCATAAGTAATTACCTGAGGCATTCCGATGACTAGTGGGTCCAGACTTTTTAAGACCTCAAGGCTTGTTTCTTGTACAGATTTTTCTCCTCTTTCTTCTTCTTGGGAGTTAGTTCTCATGATTTTTTCCTTTAAGAAAAAGGAAACAAAACAAAACAAAAATGGTGAAACAAATTACTCACTTGCAATCATTAACATTCTTCCCCTGAGACCTTGCTTGGATGGCTCTCAGATTTTGTAGTGGAGGATATAATTCCTCAATCTAAAGTTCTATGGATCTGAGTAAGTTCTTAGGTTCACAGCATCTAATCAATATTTTGGCACTCTAGTGGCCTAGTGGGAAGAAGATTCACTGCAACACCAAAGGCACGTGGTTCGTGGTCACCTCCACAGGAGAAGGATGAGCAATCTCCTCTTATGTAATTAACTTCCTCTGAAAACCCACTGAAGTTCAGCTATGGGTTGGTTCTGACTCTTCAATATAAACCAACAACAATAATTAACATTTTAGTGTTTCTCTGGGGGAATGAATTAGAAAATACATCAACAGGTAAACTAGAAAAGCAAAAACCATGAAAAGTCTGGAATAGTAGTTATTATCTCTCTTCATTCTCCTCAGGTCTTTGCAATCTCCTCTACAGCAAAAATTTTCAGGTATCTCCTAGTGGAATGAAGACTAATTTCAGTTTGGATGAAATTGCTGAAAATCACAGAGCTCGTAAGCATTTGATTTTCAGTTTAGTCACTTAAAGGGACATGGCCCCACTTCAGTAAGTATTGGTATATCTTTTGTTTTTATTTCATACAATCCTTTCTCTCTCTACCTTTCTTGGTTCTCTAACTTCACTCACACCTCCAAGACTTTGGGAGGTCCAGTTATCTCGTTCTTAGGAAACATGGTATTTTAGTCTACCTACTACATGCTTTTTGTACATAGGGTTTTCAGAGGCCTGCTATCCTTCTCCCTAGTCTGTCTTAATCTGAATGTTCAGATTTAGAGAAGTATCAAACAAACCAGCATTTTACAAAAAAAGTGAAAGATATATCCCTTATTGTGGCGTTAACCATTAGTATCAGGTTTGTCCATGCCTTTGGCACACATGTCTTTACCCCTTATTACCCTGCTCCACCATCCACCAGGATACCCATCCACTTCTACCAACTCCCTTCAACATCCATCTCCCATTGTCCTGCCGTTGATCTGATAGCTTATATTTGAAGCTTCCTTGACTTCTGTGATTCCAAACATGTTGGTTGCTGATAGTTTCTTATGCTGTGACCAATGTCTCTTAAGTTTAGTGGTAATGTTTCCCGAGCAAAGGTGATATGTCCTGTAGAATTGGTGTGTAGATAGGTTTTTCTTGGCCCGAGGGCTGCAGGCCAGAGTTGTAAGGAGGGACCCATCCTTGGAGAGAGACATCATGCTTGGTAGGGTGGAGGGACAGCGTAGGAAGGGAAGGCTCTCTATGAGGTGGACTGATTCAGAGACAGTGCGGTTGTCACAGGACAGAGCAGAGTATAGGGCTATTGTACACAGGGTCACTATGAGTCACAAGCGACTCGACAACACATAACAACAATAAGTATTTGCTAGGTGGGGTTTTTGTGTGTGTGTGTGTCTGTGTGTGTTTAATAAAGACTAAATGGGTGGTGCAAACATGCTTAGTTGACCCTGTGGAAAGCGGTATGGAGCTTTCTCAAAAAGTTGCAAATAGAGATACCATTTGACCCAGCAATACCACTACTGGGAATATACCCAGAAGAGGCCATAACTGACACCCAAGCAGATATATGCAAACCCATGTTTATTGCAGCTTTGTTCACAATAGCAAGGAGTTGGAAACAACCTAAGTGCCCATCAACAAACGAATA